AAAAGCCACAGAAAAGTCTAACCATAACACTTTAAATTATTGAACATCATTCTCTAACTACCTGTAACCAGCCACAAGATCTCTCTTGCTAACAATTAATATTCTTTCACATAGTTCTAAAACAGTGATCTTTCAGAGGGGATACCCCTTCAAGAATACACAGCCATTGATACTTTGACTTTTAAAATTTACCATTCTTCTTTGTGAATTATCTCTTCACATATACTGTCCATTGTTAGATTAATTTGTATTTTTCTCACTGATTTATACTCTTTATATATTAAAAATGGTTCTTAAAAAACTGTGAAAATGAATGTGAGTGGTCAAAGCAGCATTACTCATAATAGACAAAAAATGGAAACAAACCAAATGTCTATCAACTTATGAATGGATTATCAAAAATGTGTTATACCCATACAATGGAATATTATTCAGTCATAGAAAAGAATAAACACCAATACATGCTTCAACATGGATGAAGCTTGAAAAACATGCTAAGTGAAAGAAGCCATACACAAAAATGTATTATATGATTCCACTCATATGAAATGTCTGGGACAGACAACTCCACACACACAGAAAACAGATTAAATGGCTACCAGGGGATGCAGGGAGGGTAGACTGAAGAATGACTATGGCCAATGACTACGGGGTTTTCTTTTTAGGGTGATAAAAACATTCTGGAATTAGACAGCAGCGCTGGTACCACTAAATTGTACACTTCAAAAGGGTGACCCTTACAGAATGTGCATTTTATCTTAATGAAGCTGTAAAAAAAAAAAAACCAACAACAAAAGTGGTTATGGACTCCCAGACGAATGCACATGCACGTCACTAACAACTATATATATGAGGGATGGGGTGAGGTGGGGTAAAGGGGTATGATATGATCTGGATTTGTGTCTCTAACCAAATCTCGTGTCCAACTAGAATCCCCAATGTTGGAGGAGGAGCATGGTGAAAGGGAATTAGATCATGGAAGCAGATTTTGTAGTTCCAAGATTGCCAGTTATTAAGAAACTGCACAGAGAACTTCTACACTGAAATGAGAGATCATGTTCATTTTTTCCATCAGGATCACAGCCAAAAACAAACCATTATTTCTTGAAAACTTAGGTGAGGTCTCCAAGAGTTAAACAAAACAGATTTATCAGCAAAAGGCTGGAAGAGTAAGATTATAATTTGAAACAGGCAAACTGTTTCATAACAGAAAATGTGGCATTTAATGCAGTCTGCAGAATATGGAATGCTAAAAACGCTACTTATGGCCTCTAGAGAGTCAAACCAGCCAAACAAAAGAACTAAAAAAGGTAGAAAAAGAAGCCATGTCAGCATTACAAAGCCACAAGAGACTGATATAATTTTTTTTTTTTTTTTGCTGAATTACAACTTTTTCACCATACTTTTTTTAAAAGCACAAAAAGTGTATGATAAAAACATTTTCTTTTTGGCCATTTTAAATTAGGAATTTATATTAATTCGAATTTATCCTAATTTAACAGGACTTGTGTTTTTAAAAAGCACATGTAATATTGAGGTCAACCAAGTTACCAATGTAGAAGACTATACAAGCTGATCAAAGTTCCTCTCTGTGACTCCTTCTGGAACACATTTACTTCGGGTTCCTGAGTGAGTTGGCTTGCTACTGGGACAGACTAATGCTTCTTTACTTGAAATAAACATTCAGTCAAAATTGCTACCAAAAAACTCATATTGAAAAGGCTTGGCTCACGTCTCGATGTGTTGGCCAAGTAAAACTAAGCATAAAAACCTCAATGCAGGTTGACTAGAAAATTATCCTAATTGTCCTTAGGTCTCTCTGCATTAAACATACAGTAATTGAATCTTTCTTTTGTAATCCTGTCAATTCTAAACTTTGAAAAGACCGTGTCTGTTCAGCTTTTGTACTCTTAAGGGGGCTCTGTAAATTTAAAGTATTTTTAATAAAATATTTTAGACGTGAAAACAAGATAAAGATTAATTAGAACTCTAAAAATGCATAGGTCAACAGTATATCACTATTAAAAAATATTAACTTTACCTAAGTGTATATTCATATCATCAATGTAGACATTCATATATTTTACATTCATACATTGAGACTGCTGACAAAGTCTCCATTAACATTGAAGAACTGGGGGATGTGTGAGATGAGAAAATATAGAACCAATAAGTATTAGCTTTTGTTTCTAGCAGTATTTACTGGTTCTATATTTTCTCATATTTTTAACAATGATATACTGTTGACCTATGTTTTTTTTTTTTTTGGTTTTTGGCTTTTTTTTGAGATGGAGTTTCGTTCTTATTACCCAGGCTGGAGTGCAATGGCGCGATCTCGGCTCACCGCAACCTCTGCCTCCTGGGTTCAGGCAATTCTCCTGCCTCAGCCTCCTGAGTGGCTGGGATTACAGGCACACGCCACCATGCCCAGCTAATTTTTTGTATTTTTAGTAGAGACGGGGTTTCACCATGTTGACCAGGATGGTCTCGATCTCTTGACCTCGTGATCCGCCCGCCTCAGCCTCCCAAAGTGCTGGGATTGCAGGCTTGAGCCACTGCGCCCGGCCAACTATGTTAATATTTTTAACAACAGTGATATACTGTTGCCCTATGCATTTTTAAACTTCTAATTAGTCTTTATCTTTTTTCATATCTAAAATATTTTATACAAATATTTTAAATGTCCTAACATATTACATAAAGGCAACTTTGGATATTTTCTGTTGTAACTTTCATTTGGAGGTATTATACAAGAAACATTTAAGTTCATAATTTAAAGAGTATTAAAAGGAAATTTAAAGGGATTATTTTTTAAAAATCATTTTTCATCATTCTTAACCTGGTTGGTCTCCTATGAAAACCATACTTTTTTCTTATTGGCCACACAACTTTTTAATTGAAAATATGACAGATAATTTTTGGATTTTTGTTATTGTCATTTTTTTTAAACATTGTAGAAATTTTTCCAGGCACCACAAGGAGAGAAAAATAAACACCCAGATTCCATGATTATCAACATTTTGCCAATCCAGTTGCCACCTCTATCCTGTGCGTACCACCTTTCTACTAGCCAGCAACACATTGTTTCATCTTCAACTGAAACATACACTACGTATTAGAGCCTATAATATAAAATGCCATAAGCATTTTGCTTACCTCTTCTAGTCCTCAAAACAAACCAACATAACAGTCAAGCCTAATCCTGTATTATCCATGGTCTCTAGTCTCATAGCAACACTAATTTTCCTATTCCATGTCTTGACATCCATTGTTTTCAATACCTATACAAACGATGGGACACTTATTCTAGAAATTGGAAGTTCTACTTTAACTAAACAATATTCCTGTTATGAATTTTTACAATATTGCTGGCTGAGATTACTGTTTATGTAACTGTGGAGCAATTTTATAATTAAATGGGTCACTGACATGCTGGTTAATAAATTCTGGTAGATAGATCAGACAGTAGTCTGATAAACAACCTTGCATGACCCACAGGGTTTTTTTGTTTTGTTTTGTTTTGTTTTGTTTTGTTTTGTTTGAGACAGAGTTTCGCTCTTGTTACCCAGGCTGGAGTGAAATGGCCCGACCTCGGCTCACCGCAACCTCCGCCTCCCGGGTTCAGGCAATTCTCCTGCCTCAGCCTCCCAAGTAGCTGGGATTACAGGCATGCACCACCATGCCCAGCTAATTTTTTGTATTTTTAGTAGAGACGGGTTTCACCATGTTGACCAGGATGGTCTCGATCTCTTGACCTTGTGATCCACCCGCCTCGGCCTCCCAAAGTGCTGGGATTACAGGCTTGAGCCATTGCGCCCGGCCCAGGGTTTTAAATTTACTTTGCAAAAGCATTTTACCTAAAGAAAGGATGATGTAACAATATTAACAACTAGTATTATCCATTTTTATTTTAAAGAAAACATATAGTCTTTGCTTTCCCAGGCATAATTTTAGAGAATCCACTGTTTGACTATTCAACTTTAACATTCATGGCTGGATGCCAGTGGCTCACACTTCTATTTCCAGCACTTTGGGAGGCCAAGGTGGGCGGATCACAAGGTCAGGAGTTTGAGACCAGCCTGTCCAATATGGCGAAACCCCATTTCTACTAAAAAATACAAAAATTAGCCAGGTGGCGCATGTCACCCAGCTACTCAGGAGGCTGAGGCAGGAGAATTGCTTGAACTCAGGAGAAGCAGGTTGCAGTGAGCACAGATTGTGTCACTGTACTCCAGCCTGGGTGACAGAGTGAGAACTAGTCTCAAAAAAAAAATTCATTAAATTTAAGGACCAATATGTTCAATTCCTGTTTAATACATAACATTAGCTATTTCCAATCATTTTGAAAGAAATCAAGAGTTAGTTGGCAAGTGCAGTACCCGGCTTTAGCGAGTGACAGATCTTAGGAAACTATGTGATTTATAAATTATAAGAAATCCCTACAACATGCTAGAAAATTCAAAGGTTTGCAAAAATGGGAAAGTACCAAATAATCACTAAGAAACAGAATTCCCAAGGGTAGAAAGTCATCATCATGAAGTAGTGAAAACCCTTCAAAAGGGCAAGAAAGAAAGCTAAATATAAAACCTTCCTAAAAAGTAGTCTATAGACTCTTATCTGAAGAGTTGTTAAAACATTTCAATAAGAAAACATAAAAGAATCTGTAAATTCTAGTGGATGACTGGATTGACAGTGTAGGGGCTTGAGGAATGTAATAAGAGGGTTGGTTCTAAAGAAGGAGTAAAGAAGAGGGAGGCATGCACACTTTGCTTTTCATCAAACCACTTCAGACTTTCAAAAACCTTTTCACTTAGATTCTAACATAGTAAGCCTTAACCTAATTTTCCTCCAAAGACTGGAAATGCAATTCAGCACTCTCTTTTATTTGATACAATATAAGGAGTGCTAAAAAAAACAAAAGCAAGGCAACAAAAACAAAAGGTGTTTTTTGTTGGTTTTTATATCAGGTATTAAGAGAAACACCAAGTTTCAAAACTTACATCTGAACCCACATTTCTTATGGTACTTTGTAGGACAGGTTTAGTCACGGAAAGTTTTCCATTCACTGGGCTATTCGCTGAAGGGGCTGGTACCACATTCACCATGTGATTAGGTAGCTGTGTGACTCCCCCAGCAATAGCAAGGACTGGCTGAGCAGAGGGCAGAACTCCAGGTGCTTGAAGTTGTACCACAGTAGGCTGAGAGAGCAAAACCGTCTGACCTGCATTAGAAAAAAGAAAAACAATCAGAGGGTGCACAACTATTGTGGCAGGGGAAGTAGGTTATATTTAGGTCTCTTCTACAGATGTAATGGGTAAGATCAACACCAAAGGATTTGGCACCATCAAGGTAAACACTGGATCAATAGCAGCACATGCTTATGGTAACTTTATTATGTTTTTAATGGGACCAACTAAATTCATCTCTTTGAGTTATCATTAACAATATACTTTAACATACTTTCATATTTCTTTGTCAACTAAACAACTATCAAATTTGCTGTAATCCCTAGATTTCTAAGAATTAACCCCTGAAACTTATTAATGCTAAAAGGATTTGACTTATAAATAACAAATCTTTTACACTGAACATGGAGAACCATGTATTCTAAATTAATAGGATTTGCAAATGCATACAATACCAAAAATATATGAACATAAACTTAGTAACTCAATACTAGAAGGAGCTAAAGGCCAGGCACTGTGGCTCACACCTGTAATCCCAGTGCGTTGGGAGGCCAGGAGTTTGGGGTTAGCCCAGGTAACATAGTGATATCCTGTCTCTACAAAAAAAAAAATTAAAAATTAGCCAGGTGTGGTGGCATGTGCTTCAACTCCTAGCTACTCAGGAGGCTGAGGCAGCCAGATCCCTAAAAAGGAAAAAAAGAAAGGCCTACAAATACCAAAAACTTAAAACCATTTGAGATTAAATCTTAGCTAACAATCATGGTAAACATAAAGCTGTGATTTAAAATAGTCTGTAGATGATATCAGCCTTTCCCTCTTCCCCCAAAAAATGGCCTTCAATTCTGAGTCTTCACATGTAGCATTATTTTATATTTATGCTAATCTGAGAAGAATTAGTAGAGGTTGAACATCCTTAATCAAAAAACCCAAAATCCAAAATGCTCCAAAACCCAAAATTTTTGGAGTGCCCTTATGACTCCACAAGTGGAAAATTCCACACTTCTGGTCCCAAGTATTTTGGATAAGGGATACTCAATCTGTAATAATGACAATGAAGATGATGTTGTTAACCCGGAAGAAAAAGTGCCTATAGATGACATGGTAAAAATATGCGATGGGTTTCGTGAAGGACTAAAGCAGCATGCATTCACAACAGAAAAAGAAATCGTGTCAGTGTATAAAATCAAAAAGAGATTTCTAAGACAAAAACTACTGTTGATGAGGCAGATGACTCCATAAAATACATTTTAAAAAGTCATCCAGCAGAATAGTCCTCATCCCTAGAGGACCCACTTCCAGTCCCTCAACTGCTTCTGATGTTTCTTCTCATTTGAAGACATAAAATAGTATATGGTAAGCTTTGAATGAAAACATACCATCAAAGGCAGAGACTGAAAACTGCCATTTTTTGTTGCTACTGCTGTGTAGTAGTTGACACTAGTATTCTGGTGATTCTACTGTCCTGCCTAGTTACTCTGCACACATTATTTTTCCACTGTATTAATGGTATGTCATAATTTTTGTTAAGTTCTTAGGCATGAATTTGTGAATAAGAGTAAGAAAATAATTGCTTGTCAGGAGCATATGAATTCAGAGCCAGGAATGATGGTGGTGCCAAACAACTACAGATTGTCCACATGAGATAGTGACGCCTGTGCTTTCTGATGGTTCAATGTATGCAAACTTTGTTTCATGCACAAACTTATTGAAAATACCATATAAAATTACCTTCAGGCTATGTATATAAGATATACATGAAACATAAAAAAAAATCATGTTAGACCTGGGTTCTGTCCCCAAGATATCTCATTATATATATGCAAATATTCTAAAATCCAAAAGTACCCAAAATCCAAAACACTTATGGTTCCAAGCATTTCATTTAAGGGATACTCAATCTGTGCCATTAACCTAAAGACTTATACAACTCATAACACTGATCTATTAAAAATTTTACTTGCCTGCTAAGTGTTTCCTTTCAGATCTGGCCAGATTTTTACAAGGTGTTGAAAACCTTGCCTAACATCCACAGCTGCTTGAGCCTATCTAACAAAATGAAGGTACTAAAATAACTGGCAACTAAAACACCATATAAATTTGTCATTTGTTTAAGAAAAAAAGCATTATACTTGCAGACAGGTTGACCCATGTGAAACTCAGCTCAGTATTTCAAAGGATTGGGGAAAACTAAAAATCAAAATAATGCTTCAGAACACCTGTTTGTCAAGAACATCTGTCTTGGCTAAAGAAATCACTTACAAAAGCAAAGTCTTTGTTTCACATGGCCTCAAAAACACACTGAAAGTAGCGGAATTCAATAAATAGCATTTCACCCCAGATAAGTAAGAAGATCTAAAAATAACTTCATAGATTTGGAGTAGATACAATGCATTAACACTTGGGCATAAATGATTACACATTTTTACCTTCTCATTTCCTCTTGGACTTAGTTTTCCCACCAACTTTTATTTTAGGTTCGGGGGTACACATGCAGGTTTGTTATATGGGCAAACTGCATGTCACAGGTGTTTGGTGTATAGATTATTTCATCACTCAGGTAATGAGCACAGTACCCAACAAGTAATTTTTCAATCCGCACCCTCACGTAGCCCCTGTTATCTATTGTTCCCTTTTTGTGTCTATTTGTACTCAATGTATAGCTCCCACTTAAAAGAGAGAACACGCTCTACTTGGTTTTCTGTTCCCACATTAATTAGCCTACACTAATTACTTAGGATAATAACCTCCAGCTCCATCCATGTTGCTGCAAAGAACATGATTTCCTTCTTTTTTATGGGTGTGTAGTATTGAATGGTGCATATGTACCACATTTTCTATATCCAGTTCACCACTGATAGGCATCTAGGTTGCTATTGCAAATAGGTCTGTGATGAACATATGTATGCGTGTGTGTCTTTATATTTCCCCTTGGGAATACAAGCAGTAAAGGGACTGCTGGATCAAATGGTAGTACTGCTTTAGGTTCTTTGAGAAATCTCCAAACTGCATTCAGTGGCTAAACCAATTTACATTCCCACCACTAATGTATAAAAGAGAAAAGCATTCCCTTTTCTCTTTTTTGGTTTCATGTGAACTTTAGAATAGTTTTTTCTAATTGTGTGAAAAAAATGTCATTCATAGTTTGATAGGAATAGCATTAAATCTGTAAATTGCTTTGAGCAGTATGGCCATTTTAACAATATTGATTATTCCTATCCATGAGCATGGAATGTTTTTCCATTTGTTTCTGTCATCTCTGATTTCTTTCAGCAGTGTTTTGTAATTCTCACTGTAGAGATCTTTCACCTCCCCAGCCTGCTGTATTCCTAGGTACATTATTCCTTTTCTGGCTATTGTGAATAAGATTGCATTCTTGGCCAGGCGCGGTGGCTCACGCCTATAATCCCAGCACTTTGGGAGGCCGAGGCGGGTGGATCACGAGGTCAGGAGATTGAGACCATCCGGGTCAACATGGTGAAACCCTGTCTCTACTAAAAATACAAAAAATTAGCTGGGCACGGCATGTGCCTGTAATCCCAGCTACTCAGGAGGCCGAGGCAGGAGAATTGCCTGAACCCAGGAGGCAGAGGTTGCGGTGAGCCAAGATCACGCCATTGCACTCCAGCCTGGGTAACAAGAGCGAAACTCCGTCTCAAAAAAAAAAAAAAAGATTGCATTCTTGATTTGGCTCTCAGTTTGGACGTTACTGAGGTATAGAAGCATTGCTAATTTTTTACATTGATTTTGAATTCTAAAACTTTGCTGAAGTTGCTTATCATATTTAGGAGCCTTGGCCAGAGACTATGGGTTATCTAGGTATAGAATCATATCATCTGTAAAGAGAGATAGTTTGACTTCCTCTCTTCCTACTTGGATGCCTTTTATTTCTTTCTCTTGCCTGAGTGCTCTGGCTACAAATTCCAGCACCATGTTGAATATGAGTGGAGAGAGTGGCATCTTTGTCTTGTTCTGGTTCTCAAAGGGAATGCTTCCAGCTCTTGTCCATTCACTATGATGTTGGCTGTAGTCTTGTCATGGATGGTTCTTATTTTGAGGTATGTTCCTTTGATGCCTAATTTGTTGAGGTGGACTTGGTTCTTTTATGAAGTAAAAACTTACAAAATGGAGAAATTACTCATTAGCAGATATAAATATGCTTAAGCCAAACATGCAAATAAAAATAAGTAACACATAAACTACATATGACCAAGTATTGGGTTTTAATAACAATAAGAAATTAGTCAATCTGGCACTAGGAAAATATATATTCATGATAATGTAAAAAATCAAGGGTTCCCAAGTGCCCAAGTCATAGCCAGAGCAATCAGGCAAGAGAAAGAAATAAAAGGCAACCAAATAGGAAGAGAGGAAGTCACAGTATCTCTCTTCACAGATTATATAATTCAATGCCTAGAAAACCCATAGTCTCTGCCCAAAGGTTCCTGAATACAAGAGCTCTCTTTTAATATAAACTTATATCACGGTCACCTAAAATCGTCAAGGTTGTCCTTTCGGTTTCTGTGGGTTGAGAAAACATATGATGAAAAAAGGCTGCTAAGAATTTAGTGAAGATTTAAAATAAACTTGGAGTTTATTTATTAATCAGAAGTATAGCTATAAAAATTTGAAGAGCTTTACAAAGATAAATGAAACAAATTATTTATTTGGTCTACAGAAAATGCTTGCTTCAAGAATGGATTTACAGATGCTTTGCAGAATGCCATAAGGCTGCCACGCCCATCATCCATGCCCCAGGGTCCACAGTCTACAACGAGAACCACTGACTTAAACCAATACTTTGAGAACAGTATTATAGGAAGCAATGTTCTATATCCTCTAAGTTTAAAAATCATGATTAAAAGACCCCCTCCCAAAAATTAAACACTGTTCAGGGAACTTTGGGACTATTTTAAAGACAAGATATTTCTTGTCTTCTGCTACCTTTTTTGTTTGCTCTTGCTTCTCTAGTTCTTTTAATTGTGAAGTTAAGGCGTCAACTGTAGACCTTTTCTGCTTTCTGCTGTGGGCATTTAGT